CAAGCAGTGTTTTATCAGAGACGTAAGTCTTGGTATGTGATTTAATGTAGTGGATCAAAGACTAAACTACTATACGTTTCTGGGGATATCTCGTTCTTGTATCTACATAACAAAACTATGTGTAAACATGTCATCAACTCTGCGCATCCATGAAATTTACTCCATCACTGATATATGCATAGTATCTACTCGAACTTTGACCCTGTGAAGAAGAGGTCAAAGATCTGCCAATCATATCTTGTCGCTCGCCTAGACAGCTGTATGTCAACTATATAGTTCTGAGAAGAAGGCTGGTTAAGACAGTTGGTTTCGTTACCTGAACATGTTTTAACCGAGAGAATGTAACAGATGGAAAGATAACATATCTAGAAGGGCTTTGCTCAGCTGATCAAAGTCGACACCTGTCGAGTGAGTCTTGAACCAGTGTATACACGACAGGTAATATTTACCTGTAGGTCCTTTATTTTGTTGTACCTTACAAACCGCGTAATATCACGTCACAGCGTGACATTTTGTTTAAATCATTTATAAAAAGTAACACGTTAGTCTAAACATGTATCAAAACTGTGCGTGACATTCAAAAGCTGCATTTTAAATATACAGTACACCGAACACAGTAGTAATAACACCATTGGTTTTATCACACAATTTCAAAATACAAATTTTAACAAGTTTCTACAGAAATATGAGCATATTGTGTGTATATCATTTGAAGTTGGTGTTATGAATCTTATTACTTGCTCAATTTGTTGTCATTTTTTTTATTTACGACATTATCACATATCATTTTTTTACATTGATCTTTGATAAAGCTTGTGATAATAAATAGATACCACAGTTATTTTTAAGGATTTTAAAAAACGTCTATGTTTAAGTACATTTTCATTATATTTACCGTAAAATGACAGCGACGTATAATGTCATGTAATGCACATGACTTAGATAGGTGTATATATACAGTATACATTTTTATTTGAACATTTTATTACTAATCTCAAATGCTGTTTTGCAGCGTTAATACTCAGACCGTGTATTTATAATTTGACATTTTTATGACGTCGATATATAGACTGACGAAGAACCCAGTGGATTGATTATAAATTACGTTCAAGTTCAAAGGTCAAATATTTTATTTTCGTGTCAAACACATAGTATTCATAAAATCACAATACATATATACCTTTGAATATAAAATGTGTCTAGCCAAAATGACTTATTGGACACGTTATAAGAACAATCACACTATTTACTATCTTCAGACATGTAATGTTATTAACCAGTCTTTGTAAAAACAATTATGGTTGATAAAATTGTATTTGTAGCAGGACTATAATTTTCATATATATATAATACCATGTACCCCAACAGGGTAAGAGATATACATGAGGGGTTTGGCCTATCCCTACCGACAAATTATATATCCCCCACCCCATATCTGCACATCTAATTATAATACACAATTTAATATGGGAGAAACATAGTTCTTCTCCTCCACATAAGAGAAAGTTGGGTAGCTAGTGTCTTTTGGAGAACTGGTTCACACACCACATATCGGAACTGTTCAAATTTGTTCATATCATTGAAAATTTCATATACTTTGTTTGCTTTCGTTAAAATTACAGATCTAAGATCATCATAAAATATACATTCCATTAAAAAATGATACTCGTTTTCTACATCATTGTTGCACAATTTACATAACTTATTATTGACAGGAATCACAGGTCGACCATGCCTACCTTTTTCGATTTCAAGGGGAAAAGAGCCACATCTAAAGTTAAATAAAATAAATCTTATACATTTGAGATGTACAGATTTTACATAATCGCTAGTGACAGGCTCATTACGACGAGATTAGCTATTGCACTGATCCATCCTGGGGCGAGGTATTAGTACACTTGCTACACTCTCGGGCCTGCATGAACAGTGGGTGTGAGGGTAGGGGATTTAACAGTTCCGGCGATAAAGATTAAGATTTGCTAATTAGACTGAAGATGGTATCACGGTGTCTGGGTGTTGAGATGACAGGGCTCGACTTCACTGATAACAACCCTTATCACATACTACATAAGTATATCTATATCAGCAGTCATACGCGGTCATCTAAAGCTTGACCAAGGCCGCGTGCTTCTTTACACTTTAAACAAGTAATTCAGGTAAGACCTCGGCTGACTTTTCTAACACATCAAATAGTGTTACATATTTAATGCAACGAGAGAAAGAAAAACTCGAAATACATCGGGGCAAGTAAATCGTGTTTTTCACGCATTCATTAGACGGATATAGAAAATACATTCATATCTATTCTAAATATAATATACAAAGAAATGAAGTGTAACTAAGATCAATACATTTTAACTGATACTTAAATGGGTTTGTTCAGCTTTAACACACAATGTAATAAACATCTCACTGTTTTAATTAACATAACTAAAAATAAACAATACGGAATCAACTGTATTAATCCAATTATAACTGGGTCTATCAAGACAAAATAATGATTAATATTAAAAACTACTCCAATTACTAATCGTGTGCGACACTAAGAAAACTATTACAGATATCTGAAACAAAATTGCATCAGTTAGACACAGTATTATGTAACTAAGTAATTGAGAGTGTAAGCCAGTCTACGACGAATATAATGTAGATTGTAAATTTTAGCGGACTAGCGTCGTTGTGTGGTCAGCAGGTGTGGCCAGCCGAGATAATATGATACCCTCATTATAAATCCATCGCCATGTCTTAACCTACTGGTCAAGCTGGTCGTCACGTCATGAAACAGTTCGGTCATTAAAACGGTTGTAAATGTATCACCACGGACTTAGATAACAATCTAATTCCGTGGTATCACCAAGCCTTGTCAGTGAAGAGTGTGTTATTACCGAGGTCGAATCAAGACCGCACGACCATATAAAACTCTACCACTTCTAGCGATAATTTTGTTTAAAAGTCGACACAAAATCTGCAGCAAATGAGCTAAAATTAAATGAAGTTATTTACATATTTTACAATACCAGAGTGTGCACACGTTTTCTCGTCCGAGGTATACTGGTTTAGAGCCTAATTACAACTCTCTCCTGTTTCTGTTCCATATTACTTTTTGAGCTGTCAAAAAAACACATGATTCGACTTTGGAGTGAACCACATTTACCAGGAAAGGGAGACAAACTACAACTCGGACGCTCCAATTGTACGGTTAGTAGTAATTTATTACGCAGTTGAACGTGTTACACCATGTATGCAGATGTAGTTGTTGACATGGACGGTCTTTGATAATTTAGCGTCATTTACGTTTAACATAGCATGCATGTTTCTCGTGACCTATAATCGATACTTTCACAAACCCAATAGTCTACTCAGTCCGTTTGGTGGTGAGTAATCGCTGAACACGTGTTACTATCCGGATTTAAGTGGGTACTGCTGCTGTTTCCTCGGGCTGTCGCCACTGTGTAACAGCACACAGGTAACACGTGGTCAGCCCGACAGTGTACTCATTGTATCCAGTTGTAATAGCCCGTATTGAAAACAACGATGCACTCCATTGAACGAGGATATCTGATATCACCAGACTTTCACTATATGGAGTGAACGATCGATTTCCCGATATTTTCAAGCTGTCAGACACCTTCTGTTTATTCTTTGCTACAAAGTCAATAGGTCATCGATATCATCATCATCATCATCAATATAAGAAGGATAATAGATGCGGATGTCAAACAATATTAGCAGTCATCTAGCGCGGGATGAAATGCGAGACTGTAATAAGCTCACACGAGTTGCCTCCCTTCCTTATAGGCCATATTACGCCTTTATCCGTGGTTTGTTTCATTACTTAGATACATTATAATCAACACCGGCAAATCCACAAATATGTGTTAGCCTCATATTCAATGACAATTACATCGGTATTCAGAAGACACAGTTATTATTTTACTCTGTTTTCTTAGTCAAAACAGAGACGTATATAACACATATAATGGCTTTATACGTCTCTGGTCAAAAGAGACAATTAGTTGTCTGGATTCACGCGCAGTTATCGCCCCTGCTTTTAATCAAGGATCACATTGAATTCTGAAGTACGGAGCACGTCTAGAAAACGAATACTGCTGGTCTGAGGCGAAGCTAGGTACAAACAGCACTTATTACACATGTCAAGCTTTATAACCGCAGATGATAACATCTTTGAAGTGACTTATGACGGTACATTCAATAATTAACTGTATGTTGAAGTACTTCTTTAATGTAATTACATTTCAAGGGAGATGGCTTTATATACCGGAGATTTAAAATCTTATTGACAGTTCCTTTTAATATTCCTATTAATCTGTGTACTTATTATATATGACGTATGAAATGCAATATTGTTTAAACCAATTTCTGAATATATTGTTTGTGTTTTCATTTACCAGGTATAATTATTAATTTCTGTTAAGATTTAAGCCAACTTCTATCTTTTGTATTTATTTATTTTCATCAAGAAAATTTAGACTCGATCGAACTGTAAATTTAGCTATAGAAGAATAAATCTCGTCGTGATATTTTTACAATTAGCCACAAAGCCATATTTTGCCAGCATCAATATATATACCGTGAATACATGTATAGCAATGTATAAATGACTGTTATCTTTTATAATATAAAAATAGATTCACAATTGATGCAAAGGAACTTCGTGGAAGGGAAATATGAAAAAATGCACCCTCGCCACAGCATCTACAATTCGTCTGTTATATAAACGCACCACAACCCAGGCGCCCGTGTTTTGCAAGTCTGAGTTTACAGTTTATTAGTGAATGTTCATTATTTTGGGTATGATATGTATATATATATATATGGAATGAAGCTGGATCATTGAACCTCCTTCCCTCTTAAAAACATGTCGGACATGAGCGAGGCTACTACAATAATATAATGGTGCATAACATGCAAATAAGTAAGAAAGTAATAAATGAAAAGACCGTCTTTTTTTTTTTTTTTTATAGCAACTGGACTTTCGGTCTATTTATATTATAAAACAAATAACACGATGAATCGTTATAAAAAATCTATTTTATAAGTACAAAAGCCAACTACACGGAATCCAGCGAAACAGACACAATTTACTTCAGGCTATGTACTACTTCACTGTGACGTTAATATCCTCCCCGAAAGAAGTCGACACTATATAGTGCAATATTTACAGCTATTTGGATTCGGTTAATATATATAGATGACGTGTAAAATAGTATACGGGCAAAAATTGATTACACATTGGAAAAGTACAAAAAAGTTGATGACACAGTAGTATTGTATGCTTGTTTCTTGTCCGATATCTCGCATTAGTATTTGAATATAGAGATACACTACATGTATACATGACTACACATGACTATTAATTACAAAATGCCATACTTCCCTTTGAACACTTAATGGTACTTATATACATGTATTTGCCCCTCCCCGGACCCCAACCTCCAACCCCAGTATATCCCAATCCAAAATCCCATCTAGCAACATATTAGCCCGAGTTTCCTCTGGCCCTAACACAAAGCTTAAACATTTTGACATATAGATATGTCTGGTATGGGGCCCCAAACCAGACATCTACATGTCAACATGTCTAAGTCTAGTGTTAGGGCAAAAGGAAACTCGGGCTAGCAACAAATATCTATCAACGCACCCCACCCTCAAACCGTTCCGACTGAGTGAAGTTGTTAGCCTCCCCGATTTCAAAATGGACCATTTTTTCTGGGGCCATAGTTTGCCATCCAATGCCAACTCCTCCCAACATGCCAACTCCTTACATAACAACTCCTCAACATACCAACTCCTTACATAACTCCCATTCACACAACTCCCCGACATACCAACTCCTTACATAACTCCCATTCACACAACGCCCCAACATACCAACTCCTTACATAACTCCCATTCACACAACACCCCAACATACCAACTCCTTACATAACTCCCATTCACACAACTCCCCGACATACCAACTCCTTACATAACTCCCATTCACACAACTCCCCAACATACCAACTCCTTAAATAACTCTCATTCACACAACTCCCCAACATACCAACTCCTTACATAACTCCCATTCACACAACTCCCCAACATCCATCCCTTTATAGGACTGCTTCGCCGCCTTTGGTCTGCTATTTCCGACAGCCCTTTCAATGGGCGTTCTTCAGACGATCAAATTAAACAGTAACAAGCTATTTGCAAGACTGTTTACGTGGTCGTATAGCCGTCGGTCTTAACAGTAGCAAACTCCCCATTTCCACAATAAGCTGAATGACCTCGAATACACTGAGCAGGGAAAGACCTATCCACAGTCCAAGGGCCCCGCCCACATCCGACAGGAACTGGGCATCCTAGGAAAGAAAACAGAAGTAAGTTAATCTCATAAAAATAACTCATTTATCCGACCATCTTACTTTTCGTAGAGCAATATTTATAAACGTATTGATCGGAAAAGTCGCAAAACTTCTACAGAAATAATTGAAAAACAAAATAAATTGCAAGCGCAAAACTGTGTAGGGTACCGATGATGTTTACTCACATTTATAAATGGCAGTCGGGAAGGGAAATAGGAGTGATGAAATTCAGCTAAAAACTGTTGGAGGAGTTGTGCGGACATTATTTTTCCCAGATAGACGGACAGACAAACAATCTGATTCCAGTATACCCCCTGCCCTGTAACTTCGTTGTAGAGGTATGAACATTCTTGGTATATTGGAAAAAAAAGCATGTACACGTCAGTAAGCTTATCAGCGCTACACAGTTTCTTTGTTTGGTATATGGCAAGTCTTCTTTCAAATTCAATGGTGCTCAGCTTTTACCTTGTCTCGACTTGTACAGTCAGTATAAACATCTAGAAAGACTTTTCTCCTTAAAATATATCTTCAGTCAAAACAATGAGAACCCCTGGTAAAAACTGCTAATCCAAGGGAAGCTACTCGTACTGTCGTGTTCAGAAATCTTCCCTGCATATGCAACTTAATGTTTGGAAAAAGAACTATCCATCATAAATTGAAGACACGTTGTTTGTGTCAAAAATAACATTGTACTGGTAATGGATTTTATATTTTTAATATTTCTGTGACTGACCTCAATTTCTGGCGTCTCTTTGATGTGTTCGTAGTTTAGCTCCTCATAATAAATAACCAGCTTCAGGAAGTTCAGGCTGGAACAACATATGCAGATTTTGTCCATTCTCAATTTCATATTCAGAGAATATATTTTAGAAATACAATAATGTAACTTCAACATACATTTTTAAAACCAAAATTATCAGGTTGTTATCCGAAGTCATGTTGTACAGTAATTGAGAATTGATCAGTGTGGCATTGAGGGTGACATAATTATTTTATAAAACTACTGTTACTAATGTTAATTTGTGAAGATTTGTGAAATGGCGCCAAAATAGATATGATCTATATTCCACACACGTAATTAATACGTAGAAATTTTATTTTATATACAAAATACTGGAATTGTTAGGATAACAGTGGTATATACTAGGATAACAGTGGTATATACTAGGATTAGGATAACAGTGGTATATACTAGGATAACAGTAATATATACTAGGATAACAGAGGTATATACTTGAAATTAAGCAAAGTTTGTTTAGGTAACATTGTTGGAAGGATATTTGTGTCAGATTAGCAGAGTTCAGATTAGCGAGTTGTCCACAATAGATTTTTTTACCTTAACAAACGTGGTTCATTTACTTGTTCCTTCAGCTCAACACAGTGCCGTCTGTTTCGTTCACACACACCCTTTAACAGCATATACTGTAACGAAATGTCATTAGGATAGATGGAATTGAACAGCATATACTGTAACGTAATGTCATTAGGATAGACGGAATTTAACAGCATATACTGTAACGTAATGCCATTAAGATAGATGGAATTTAACAGCATATACTGTAACGTAATGTCATTACGATAGATGGTATTTAACAGCATATACTGTAACGTGATGTCATTAGGATAGATTGAATTTAACAGCATATACTGTAACGAAACGTCATTCCGATAGATGGTATTTAACAGCATATACTGTAACGTGATGTCCTTAGGATAGATGGAATTTAACAGCATATACTGTCACGTAATGCCATTAGGATAGATGGAATTTAACAGCATATACTTTAACGTTATATAGATGGTATTTAACAGCATATATTGTAACGTGATGTCATTAGGATAGATGGAATTAAACAGCATATACTGTAACGAAATGTCATTAGGATAGATGGAATTGAACAGCATATACTGTAACGTAATGTCATTAGGATAGATGGAACTTAACAGCATATACTGTAACGTAATGCCATTAGAATAGATGGAATTTAACAGCATATACTGTAACGTAATGTCATTAGGATAGATGGAATTTAGCAGCATATACTGTAACGAAACGTCATTACGATAGATGGTATTTAACAGCATATATTGTAACGTGATGTCATTAGGATAGATGGAATTAAACAGCATATACTGTAACGAAATGTCATTAGGATAGATGGAATTTAACAGCATATATTGTAACGTAATGTCATTAGGATAGATGGAATTTAATAGCATATACGGTAACGAAATGTCATTAGGATAGATGGAATTGAACAGCATATACTGTAACGTAATGCCATTAGAATAGATGGAATTTAACAGCATATACTGTAACGGGATGTGATAAGGATTGATGGAATTTAACAGCATATACTTTAACGTTATATAGATGGTATTTAACAGCATATATTGTAACGTGATGTCATTAGGATAAATGGAATTTAACAGCATATACTGTAACGTAATTTCATTAGGATAGATGGAATTTAACAGCATATGCTGTAACGTAATGCCATTAGGATAGATGGAATTTAACAGCATATACTATAACGAAATGTCATTAGGATAGATGGAATTTAACCGCATATACTGTAACGAAACGTCATTACGATAGATGGTATTTAACAGCATATACTGTAACGTAATGTCATTACGATAGATGGTATTTAACAGCATATACTGTAACGTGATGCCATTAGGATAGATGGAATTTAACAGCATATATTGTAACGTGATGTCATTAGGATAAATGGAATTTAACAGCATATACTGTAACGTAATTTCATTAGGATAGATGGAATTTAACAGCATATACTGTAACGAAGTGTCATTAGGATAGATGGAATTTAACAGCATCTACTGCAACGTAATGTCATTAGGATAGATGGTATTTAACAGCATATATTGTAACGTGCTGTCATTAGGATAGATGGAATTTAACAGCATCTACTGCAACGTAATGTCATTAGGATAGATGGTATTTAACAGCATATACTGTAACGTAATGTCATTACGATAGATGGTATTTAACAGCATATAATGTAACGTGAGGTCATTAGGATAGATGGAATTTAACAGCATATACTATAACGAAATGTCATTAGGATAGATGGAATTTAATAGCATATACGGTAACGAAATGTCATTAGGATAGATGGAATTGAAATAGATGGAATTTAACAGCATATACTGTAACGGGATGTGATAAGGATTGATGGAATTTAACAGCATATACTTTAACGTTATATAGATGGTATTTAACAGCATATATTGTAACATGATGTCATTAGGATAGATGGAATTTAACAGCATCTACTGCAACGTAATGTCATTAGGATAGATGGAATTTAATAGCATATACTGTAACGTAATGCCATTAGGATAGGTGGAATTTAACAGCATATACTGTAACGTAATCTCATTAGGATAGATGGAATTTAACAGCATATTCTGTAACGAAACGTCATTACGATAGATGGTATTTAACAGCATATATTGTAACGTGCTGTCATTAGGATAGATGGAATTTAACAGCATATACCGTAACGTAATGTCATTAGGATAGATGGAATTTAATAGCATATACGGTAACGAAATGTCATTAGGATAGATGGAATTTAACCGCATATGCTGTAACGAAACGTCATTACGATAGATGGTATTTAACAGCACATACTGTAACGTGATGTCATTAGGATAGATGGAGTTTAACAGCATATACTGTAACGTAATGTCATTACGATAGATGGTATTTAACAGCATATATTGTAACGAAATGTCATTAGGATAGATGGAATTGAAATAGATGGAATTTAACAGCATATACTGTAACGCAATGTCATTAGGATAGATGGAATTTAACAGCCTATACTGTAACGTAATGTCATTAGGATAGATGGGATTTAACAGCATATACTGTAACGTAATGCCATTAGAATAGATGGAATTTAACAGCATATACTGTAACGAAGTGTCATTAGGATAGATGGAATTTAACAGCATCTACTGCAACGTAATGTCATTAGGATAGATGGAATTTAATAGCATATACGGTAACGAAATGTCATTAGGATAGATGGAATTGAAATAGATGGAATTTAACAGCATATACTGTAACGCAATGTCATTAGGATAGATGGAATTTAACAGCCTATACTGTAACGTAATGTCATTAGGATAGATGGGATTTAACAGCATATACTGCAACGTAATGTCATTAGGATAGATGGTATTTAACAGCATATACTGTAACGTAATGTCATTACGATAGATGGTATTTAACAGCATATACTGTAACGTAATGTCATTACGATAGATGGTATTTAACAGCATATACTGTAACGTGATGCCATTAGGATAGATGGAATTTAACAGCATATATTGTAACGTGATGTCATTAGGATAAATGGAATTTAACAGCATATACTGTAACGTAATTTCATTAGGATAGATGGAATTTAACAGCATATACTATAACGAAATGTCATTAGGATAGATGGAATTTAACGGCATATACTGTAACGTAATGTCATTAGGATAGATGGGATTTAACAGCATATACTGCAACGTAATGTCATTAGGATAGATTGAATTTAACGGCATATACTGTAACGAAACGTCATTACGATAGATGGTATTTAACAGCATATATTGTAACGTGATGTCATTAGGATAAATGGAATTTAACAGCATATACTGTAACGTAATGGCATTAGGATAGATGGAATTTAACAGCATATACCGTAACGTAATGTCATTAGGATAGATGGAATTTAACAGCATATACTGCAACGTAATGTCATTAGGATAGATGGAATTTAACAGCATATACTGTAACGAAATGTCATTAGGATAGATGGAATTTAACAGCATATATTGTAACGTAATGTCATTAGGATAGATGGAATTTAACAGCCTATACTGTAACGTAATGTCATTAGGATAGATGGAATTTAACAGCATATACTGTAACGAGATGTCATTAGGATAGATGGAATTTAACAGGATAGACTGTAACGAAATGTCATTAGGATAGATGCAATTTAACAGCATATACTGTAACGTAATGTCATTAGGATAGATGGAATTTAACAGCCTATACTGTAACGTAATGTCATTAGGATAGATGGAATTTAACAGTTAAGAACACTGTTGAGAAGAAGTTGAGGTTAACATAAATTTTCAGATCTATGAAGCCACATATTCACTAAAAATAAAAGTCCTTAATTGTTATATTAGATGTGAAATAATTCCATTTCATTATTCAACAACATGAAACCTAAGAAAATCGTCAAGAAAGAAGTACTGCATTTGGCAGAGAGTATTGTGACATTGCAATGATTTGAATGACGTCATAAAATTAATAATAACCGATTTCTAAAAATAGTAGCATTAAGTCAAGTCAATATCACAATCGCCGACCTCCACGTGATGATCCAACCAATGGCAATGAAGAAATAAGTAGTGTCGTCTACTATTATATACCCTCTTAAATGCTTGATACTTCCATAGAAGGATGTGGAATATTACATAATGCTGAAGGTATCCATAACTCTCATGTTTGCAAATGATTTAAACTGTACAGGAGAAACGTTAAAGCATGTAAGATACTGAAAAAAACATCTTCATGACAACAAAAAAGGTGGTGAGGTAAACGCTACGAAAGATACGATCCAGAGAAATGGATGCAAATAAAAGTAGTAAGGTATGATGAAATTAATCCTAAAGAGGAGGGAGGATCATGAAAAGAGGTCTATACCTCGACAAGGCAGTAGACGACAGAGAGCATCAAATTAACCCTAAATAGGAGGATCATGAAAAGTGGTATATACATCTACCAGGCAGTAGACGGCAGAGAGCTTCAAATTAACCCTAAATAGGAGGATCATGAAAAGAGGTATATACATCTACCAGGCAGTAGACGGCAGAGAGCATCAAATTAATCCTAAAGAGGAGAAGCATGAAAAGAGGTCTATACCCCTACAAGGCAGTAGACGGTAGAGAGCATTAAATTTACCCTAAAGAGGAGAAGCATGAAAAGAGGTCTATACCTCTACCAGGCAGTAGACGGTAGAGAGCATCAAATTAACCCTAAAGAGGAGAAGCATGAAAAGAGGTATATGCCTCTACCAGGCTGTAGACGGTAGAGAGCATCAAATTAACCCTAAAGAGGAGAAGCATGAAAAGAGGTCTATACCTCTACAAGGCAGTAGACGGTAGAGAGCATCAAATTTACCCTAAAGAGGAGGATCATGAAAAGAGGTCTATACCTCTACAAGGCAGTAGACGATAGAGAGCATCAAATTTACCCTAAAGAGGAGAAGCATGAAAAGAGGTACATACCTCTACAAGGCAGTAGACGGTAGAGAACATCAAATTGACCCTAAAGAGGAGGATCATGAAAAGAGGTATACCTCTTCAAGGCAGTAGAAGACGGGAGAGAGCATCAAATTTACCCTAAAGAGGAGGATCATGAAAAGATGTATATACCTCTACAAGGCAGTATACGGCAGAGAGCGTCAAATTTACCCTAAAGAGGAGGATCATGAAAAGAGGTATACCACCACAAGACAGTAGACGGCAGAGAGCGACAAATAAACCCTAAAGAGTAGGATCATGAAAAGAGGTCTATACCTTTACAGGCAGTAGACGATAGAGAGCATCAAATTTACCCTAAAGAGGAGGATCATGAAAAGAGGTATACCTCTTCAAGGCAGTAGAAGACGGGAGAGAGCATCAAATTTACCCTAAAGAGGAGGATCATGAAAACAGAGCTATACTTCTACAAGACAATAGACGGTAGAGAACATCAAATTAACCCTAAAGAGGAGGATCATGAAAAGAGGTATACCTCTTCAAGGCAGTAGAAGACGGGAGAGAGCATCAAATTTACCCTAAAGAGGAGGATCATGAAAACAGATCTATACTTCTACAAGACAATAGACGGTAGAGAACATCAAATTAACCCTAAAGAGGAGGATCATGAAAAGAGGTCTATACCTCTACAAGGCAGTAGACGGTAGAGAGCATCAAATTTACCCTAAAGTGGAGGATCATGAAAACAGATCTATACCTCTACAAGGCAATAGACGCCAGAGAGCATCAAATTAACCCTTAAGAGGAGGATCATGAAAAGAGGTCTATCCCTCTACAAGGCAGTAGACGATAGAGAGCATCAAATTTACCCTAAAGAGGATGATCATGAAAACAGATCTATACTACTACAAGGCAATAGACGGTAGAGAACATCAAATTAACCCGAAAGAGGAGGATCATGAAAAGAGGTATACCTCTTCAAGGCAGTAGAAGACGGGAGAGAGCATCAAATTTACCCTAAAGAGGAGGATCATGAAAAGAAGTATACCTCTTCAAGGCAGTAGAAGACGGGAGAGAGCATCAAATTTACCCTAAAGTGGAGGATCATGAAAACAGATCTATACCTCTACACGGCAATAGACGGCACAGAACAACAAATTAACCATAAATAGGAGGATCATGAAAACAGATCTATACCTCTACAAGGCAATAGACACCAGAGAGCATCAAATTTACCCTAAAGAGGGGGATCATGAAAAGAGGAATATACCTCTACAAGGCAATAGACGGCACAGAACAACAGATTAACCATAAAGAGGAGGATCATGAAAACAGAGCTATACTTCTACAAGACAATAGACGGTAGAGAACATCAAGTTAACCCTAAAGAGGAGAAGCATGAAAAGAGGTCTATACCTCTACCAGGCAGTAGACGGTAGAGAGCATCAAATTAACCCTAAAGAGGAGGATAATGAAAAGAGGTATATACCTCTACAAGGCAATAGACACCAGAGAGCATCAAATTTACCCTACAGAGGAGGATCATGAAAACAGATCTATACCTCTACAAGGCAATAGACGGCACAGAACAACAGATTAACCATAAAGAGGAGGATCATGAAAACAGAGCTATACTTCTACAAGACAATAGACGCCAGAGAGCATCAAATTTACTCTAAAGAGGAGGATCATGAAAACAGATCTATACCTCTACAAGGCAATAGACGGCACAGAACAACAAATTAACCATAAAGAGGAGGATCATGAAAACAGATCTATACTTCTACAAGGCAATAGACGGTAGAGAACATCAAATTAACCCTAAAGAGGAGAAGCATGAAAAGTGGTATATACCTCTACAAGGCAGTAGAATGCAGAGAGCATCAAATTCACCCGAAAGAGGAGTATCATGAAAAGAGGTATATACCTATACAAGGCAGTAGACGGCAAAGAGCATCAAATTAACCCTAAAGAGGAGGATCATGAAAAGAGGTCTATATCTTTACAGGCAGAAGAAAGCAAAGAACGTCAAATTTACCCGAAAGAGGAGTATCATGAAAAGTGGTATATACCTCTACAAGGCAATAGACGGCAGAGAACATCAAATTAACCCTAACGAGGAGGATCATGAACATGCCGCAGTCAACAAGGCAAACAGAATCCTTGGAGAAAATAAAAATTATCGCGTACAGAGCAAATCTCAATTCAAACCGATCCTTGAACACCTGGACACATTTTGATTGACAAGAATCCTGATTGTGTGGAATAAACGGCCACTATCCGTCTATAAATGTAAAACGAATGTTTCAAGATATATATATAAAAAAAGAAGAATTATACTTACAACGTAATCGCTGGATGGGTACTGGTGAGTACTGATAAACTTGGTGTATTTGTTCTCCCTAAACAAAACATCAAAAATAACATCTCAGGTAAATCTTTTGGCTGATCATCGTTAAGGTGTTATCCATCAGTAACAACGTTAAGGTGTGATCCATCAGTAACAACGTTAAGGTGTGGAGTAATTAAAACGTATGTGTGGAGTAATTAAACGTATGTGTGGAGTAATTAAAACGTATGTGTGGAGGAATTAAAACGTATGTGTGGAGGAATTAATGGTAACACTCCAGTATTGCAAAGGAGTCAGCAGTTTGGTGCCTTAGTGAGAGAACACGGACAGAAAAGTCGATTCGACAGGAGTTCCCACATTAGTCACATCATACGATGAATCAAGGGTTAAGCAAGGATACATGTTTGCCTGCATCAACATCTCTCCCGTAACTACGAGAAAGAGTCTCATTTTCATACTAACCAGCATTATCAATTGAAAATTTTGGACAAATTGTTTCCCCTTTTTTTGAATAAATTTCTCTATCTTACTTGCAGGCTTGAGGACAGTCACATTGCAGTGTTTTTGACCGGACCTTTTCGGCGAATTTCCTGGCACATTTTCTCTCTAGAAGCAACAATGATACAAAGCATAATGTACTATAAACTGCAATATTTTTGCTACGCCAAATGTTATCCCTCTAGCCTCTGAAAAAGACGAAGGGATGAAACTTAAAGGGCGAACTAAAACCAAGGAGAGAAACACCCCAATTTACAATAATATAAGATACATTTTCTATGAGATCCAGAAAATACCCCAATGTCCTTGTGACATATAGCAGTCCAAATCCTTATCTCGTAACATTATTGGACATCCTAACACGGTTTGTTACCAACGCTTATTTTGACATCACCTTAAAATAGTTATGACGTCACATTATACGCCAAAAGTCAAAAAATCACTTATTGCTATCGGGGCATCTGTCAAAATATGTCAAAGTTATGTAATTTTGAGGATGGTACTTTTGATAATTGTTCAAAGAAATACATGTATGTATGTATGTCCGTGCAATGATCTATACTTACTGCTGTATGTATCGCTACTATTTTTGAGTACATTATGGTAGATTAAACGGTGTGTTCAACACTCTACCCTATCATCGACTCATAACATATGACAAGACTTTATGGTTATTCGACTTAAACCAAATGCAAATTCATCATAGTTGATAAAATGAAATTGCTAGAGTTTATCTAATGAAGTGTATTAAGGAGACGGTGGCTAAGGAAGGTCTTCGCACTGAAACTGCAGAGGACGGACTCGTTAAGGAACTATGAGGAGAAGTTAACAGATATCAGAGGAATATTGACTTACAATGGTAGTATATGATGAACACTTTAATTTACATTGTGACAAGTTTATTATCAAGTGCATGTAAATTAGGTTAATTTTAGTATAACATGTTTATTTCTAGCTTATCTCAGACAGACCCGGCTTCTTATTTCGGACAGACGTAGGATAGACATTGCTACTTATTTTATACAGATGTAGGACAGACATGGCTACTTATTTCGGACAGACATATGACGGACATGACTACTTATTTTGGACAGATACGGTACTTATTTCGGACAGACATAGGAAAAACAACACGGTTAACTATTTAGGACGGACATGGCTACTTAATTCGGACAGACGTAGGACATACATGGCTACTTATTTTGGGTAGACGTAGGACGGACATGGCTACTTATTTTGGGTAGACGTAGGACGGACATGGCTATTTATTTCGGACAGACGTAGCTCTTTCTGTCGCAAGAATAACTCTCCAGAGCTAATGTTTCTTGTTACATATATAAGACAAAAATAAAGTTTCTTGTATCTTGTATCTTTGACATGTCTACTTGTTTTGGACAGACGTAGGGCAGACACGGTTAGATTTTTTTGGACATACGTATGCCAAACGACAAGGTTACATATTTCGCACAGACGTAGGACACACATGGCTGCTTATTTCGGACAGACGTAGGTAAGACATGGTTAATTACCTTTTTTGGTCTCACACAGCTTGACGTCAGTAGAGATTTTTGTCCTGAGGAGGTTATCATATGACCGCGAACTCAAACAGTTACAGACTTCGATCACCTTTCTGGCCTTACACATCCAGAGACAGGTCTGATCGACAAATGCAAACATCATAAATTTTGGAACAAAACTGAAAATTAATACTTTACCTTACAGCACCTCTTGTAAAACCTAATCCTTTTATAACTAACTTTACATAATTTCGTATGATATATAAGCATCTTAAAACGAAACATTTAACTTCATTCTTGTAATATATAAACATTTCATAAATGAATCTTTGATATCCTTCTGCATTTAAATGGAGAAAGACGAAAAAAGGTAAGCCTTCGAGGAAAATTGCATAAAGTAACAGTACCCGTTTTCGTACTGTTTTATTGTGAAAATTATTAAGAAAGATTGTTTAGGTAGTATTAATATCTTATGTACATACAAAACTTGTATTGCTTAATAAACACGTATTTGACTTTAAAAATTAGATACTTGTATCAGTTCTTCTCTTGATAAGTATTTGTAAATAAAATATGTATTCACTTATTATTTAACGTAAAACAGTAAGAAAAGGTAGGAAAATAATTGATAAATACTTATTTCATGTTTAAACACATACCTTAAATTACGTCAAAGTATTACAAGAGTTGGACTGGAAAATGTACATATTATGACGGTTATATGTGTGAGAAATATACAGAATGGATACCTGGAATGTGTATTTGACGCCGTGTTCCTGGAAAAAAATGTCTTGATCGGTACAGGTTCCGAAAGGCTTTCCCAGTCTTGTCACCGATACCTGTAGCGGTAATAGAGGCGTTTAGTAGAGCTCGCTTAGTCTGGCTATCTTTCTATAGAGGTTTCAGAACACTGTAGACGTGGATTTTCATTATTTTGTCATTTAGTACCACTGACAAGTCCATTATGGACGAAATGGCCATATGGGACAGTAAACTGTTTGGCTACTTTCTGTTTGATTTCACGCAAGATGGTGATTGACCGTACGTGGAGTATCAGTCCTGTGGTTGGCCATAGCCTTTTAAATAAAATCGTCTGTCATAACCTATTATTACAGACTTCTTGTACAGAAACAACATACAGTTAGTATATTCATGATGGCATAACTGGCCGCGACAATGGGGGCTTTCTGTCTAATACATTCATGCCAAATTGACCTAACATTCTGATTTTCTATCGTTATAAAGGATTTTATAGTATTATTTCCCCTTTCGCTGTATTATTCTATTATTTGGTTCAGAACAATCTAGACATGTGGGTTTTTTTCATTCTTTTGACCTCACCACCACTGATGAGTCCGGATGGGACGAAACTGTCACGTGGTACAGTGAACTGTTCACTTTGTTTGACTTTTCTCATCTACCAGCATTTTTTCACACATGTGTTTCTTTTCTTTGTACTTTACAGAACAGTTGTTAGCGACAAGAATGTAGGTTCGGATCTAGTAGACGGCGGTATATGACACGATGAGAAAGATGCAGTGAAATATGGTCTGGGTCGGCCATAGCCTCTACTTTGCTGTATAACACTTATATAAGCCGTTTGAGAAACGTACCCATAAAAAGACGATTACGTATACACAGGCTTGCCTACGTCCAAGACTCCCAATGTCTGATATGATTTTATCGTCATTTCGTATATTTGCAATAACTACGATGCAAACGTATGTAAACTTAGTTGTTATACATTTACGAAATGACGATCAAATCACCATTTTACCATTCTTTGACAACTATGCTTCGTTTAATACCTGCACTTTTGTGTACATAAGCTTTGTCGGTTATTTGTTTAACGAAGGTAACAGAGTCATCGAATCGTCACACTTAACCACTTTACTAGTTGTGCTATATGATTCTGTAAACAATCCATACTTTCCAAGACCTAAAGACAATGGTTAGAAGTACATGTATCATAATAATTAACTAGATCGCCATTCTCGGCGCTACAATATTACTTAGAGCATGACACCAACCTTTCAATGGACACAAACAACAATTCTTCTCTTTCAGGCAGGCATTATTTACAAATATAACGCTACAGTAATTAACTAGATAGCCTTTTTCGTTGTGAATATAACGAGTACTTCTGTGATACCTATCACACACAAGAAACACTGTAGCAGTGAATGTGATGATACTATGATTGATTTTACCATTAGCGCTCACTTCGTCTAAAAGCTGCACCAGTAGCTATGCCATCTACAAGCGACAGCTAGGGCGTGTCAACTTGAATGAGCATATCCATAATATCTGGAAAAATTGTATGGGCAGAACTTGAACTTTTTCCGGTAGAAATGAATATTTATAACTGGGGTCAGTGCCGCAGTGAATAATCAGACATGTAAAGTTAATTTAAAAAAACCCTGAACATAACCTATCGTAATTAAAATGTATTTTCCATAAAAATAAGATTCTTCAACTTACACCATTTTTAATTGGCCATTTTTAACATCAATCCGGGGTCACGCACCTTTTCATCAATCCTATTGGTTGAAGCTTCTTTGCCGTTTAAACGACAAACTAATTTAGAATTATTTCCTTCCTTGAAATATCTTTTACGGACATTTGTCGCCCGGGGACCTATCGCGAGATGAAACGCACAATTCAATGCGAAAGTACACAATAATCGTTATTCAGTGAGCAAAGACACGGTCTATAATTTCAGTTTAAGACAACAGACTGGTGCCATATGTTTGAACAAACATGTATTACAAGATCAATATGTACTCATTCCAATATCTTTCCATCGCAGTGTAAATACCAGAGTTTTTATTTGTCAGCCAATTGATATCATCATTGTTTTACCAACCGGATATGATGTTGATAAGAGTTTGGCTTGTATTGGACGAGGCAAGAGTTACCCGGCGTGTCTATTGTCACGCCAATAGCCGTGGTTTTACAATGATATTACAAACATAACAGGAGAGGAATTGAATATGTTGGGCGTTAAATATAGTAGGTCGAATAATATGCAATTGAGACTGACCAGGAATCGAACCCGAGTCCTTCGAACTTCAGACATACCCTCAAACCAACTTATCTACCTGGTCACATGACGTCAGGTAGCAGTATACAGTAGAGGGTTGTGGCCATGGGTGATTTTTTTTGTTAAATTGCTAACCCCTGTATAATGATATGTAAAAAAAATATAAAAATAAAACTGTACTAAAATTGGTATAAGCATGATGAAGTGGGCTATGCGAGCTTCACATTTGTAAAAAAAAAGAAGCTTTTTTTGGTTCGAGAATAAAATTTTGGCCATAATCCGAAAGGGTGCCTACACATGAAAAGCTAGCTTTACAGGAGGTACATAGAACATAGAACATAGAAAAAAGAGGTTTATACACTTCTCAGTACTCTTTATGTATTGTAAATGTAATGCAGTATTCAAATATATATACATGTATACATGTGCTGTGTAGGGTAAATCCGCTGTGTTTACATTTCCTCGACATGTGCCTTGTTTATCAGAGTCGGACCATTTCTACTGTATACTGCTACCTCAATAGAAAAAAACTCGCTAGATATACGAAACACCTGTTTGAATATCTTGTTATTGGAAGTAGAAAGCCAAACAAAATAAGCATTTCACTGCACCACATTGCCATTTCGTGTAGGTCAAAAGAATGAAAAACAATAATGTCTAAAATATTCCGAATCATTCTACAAACGTTATGTTTTAGCGGTTTTATAATTTTAGCGTTTCTAACGTTAGAAATTGACAACTTTTGGCAACAACATATATTTATTCTTCAACTAGTATATCATCTAAATCGTACCGTGATAAGACAAACAGATTAACTTTGACAACGGAAAAATTAAAATAAAGTATCACCAATTTGAGTCCGATGCTTGTTTCGAACGCGGCGGGTACAAAGAAGCCCTCTTGCGTAGGGTGGGGAATAGTATCCGGCTCGTGTATGACTACCCGGGCACCATTTCCGTCTGTGATCCCATGTATGTACTCAGGGGTCTCCAGGAATAGGATCATCTGCATACCTGGCGAAACATAAAGGCAGCAATGGTAAATACTGGAAGCAATACTCACCATCGGTTTTCTTGTTCATCCGAACTTTGATTTCCAGAAACGTGGTTTCACCACATCATGTATATGGAAATAGGGAAACAACATTTATCGCCTTAAAGATTTGGAAACTAGCAAGGTAGTATGGTTGTTACACGTTGAATAAAAATAGTTCACCACGACAATACTTAGAACAATGCTTTTCCATGATAGCCTGTAAAATCCCAAAACTTTTTTTTTTAAAGTAAAAAACTGAATTAAACTCTTTCATTTCCTACGGACACCATCGTCACATGGCCACATTGTTTGTGACAAAGACACAAAACAGAAACAAACAACTAAATAACCAAACAGGCAACACAAATCTACCTTATAACCAACCACTTGTGATGTCAGGACAGCTTACCCCCCTAACACGTTTGTTTACATTGTACGCATACCTGAAAGGATTGGCATGCTTTATCAATGGCGACATCTAAACTCAGGTATCTGTTTGAACGGTTAGGAAGTCATAATGGGACAACACAGATATCAAATACACATATAGACGACGAGTGTCGAGACTTTGAAAAGATAAAAATAATATGGTAGAAAAATACGTTAAGATGGATGCCTAGTAATACAACTGCACAGTAAAAGAAATGGTCTATCAAATATATCCCAAGAAAACCAGAAACAGAAAACAGTGGATAACCTGTTGTTTTGCTATAACGCTGTTACAACATGTATTTTATATGCATCACGTAGATTTACTAGCTATATCCTAGAGGTCCTAGGATGGGTCTGGTATACCACAGACTCTAATGTGTCACTCTGGATGCAGTAATAATGATTACTTCGTCATTTGTTTAATATTTCTTTTACTCGGACATGGAAAATCTATTGGAGCAGTTAAACTTACATATCGGTATTATACGATGTCTGATTTACGTCATTTCTTTGTTTTATCTTTCGCCCAATTAACAAACTTTAACTCTCGTCGTTTTATCCTTTCGTCCCTAAAAGACAAAACGACGAGATTTGAAAAAAACCACAAGTCTCATCTGTTAGGGCGAAAAGACAAACAACGAAATGGCACAAATCCACCACCATAGTATTATAATTCAGTCTTTTATTCACTTGTATACGTCAATATTGATACAATGTAAAACAGTATCGAGAAGCAGAGTCAACAAATAAAACAGGTCGAGTTCAATATAGATCTAGCTTGATAGTAGATCTTGTTGACCTCTTTTCGCAATCGACAACCATAACTTCTGGAAGCAAGTTATGTGTTATGCACTTACCAGTACAAATAATTTGTTTCGCCGTTGTATGTATTTGCGGTTTTCTGATTAATTTTTATTACATTTTCATATAAAGAGTTATATACAAGCGCAACTCCTTCTTAACTATTTGTTGGCTGTTTCGTAACAGTGAAAGTACATCCTGTACATCATACGTAGATATACTTGAAGAAGGGAATTTCGATCAAACTATTTTTCCTGGAGTTATGGCCCTTGAAACTTTAAAATTCTGCTAAGAAAACCTTATAAGAGCAACTCCTCCTTTACTGCTTGTTGGATTTGTTTTGTAACATGGCAAGGTGAGATTGCAGCATGTAAATATGCATGAAAAAAACGTATTGCAATTCAACTATTTTTCCTGGAGTTATGGCCTTTTGAACGTTGTTTACATTTCCGAAACGCCAGGTCTTATTCTCCTTGTACTTTTTTTTAAAAAGTCTTCATATGAATCTTTCCTTTGTTGATATTTCGCCCTAGTTTTATTAAACGTGAGTTTGAATTACCGTTTTGTTGACTCTTCAGTATAATCTTTTTTATATCAAAGTGTCATGCAGCCTCAACTCATAGAGACAAAATATTACACAGCGTCAACACACATGGAAAACATATATACCAAAGTCTCAACACACATGGACAAAAAGTACCACAGCCTCAAAAAACAAGGACAAAATATAACACGGCGTCAACACACATGGAAAAAATATACCAAAGACTCAACACACATGGACAAAAAATACCACAGCCTCAACGCAAGAGCCAAATATACCAGAGCGTCAACACGCAAGAACATTATATACCAGAGCGTCAACACACAATGACAAAATAAACCAGAGCGTCAGCTCAAGAACAATATGTACCAGAGCGTCAGCACGCAAGGACCAAATATACCAGAGCGTCAACACGCGAGGTCAAAATATATAACAGCGTCAACACGCAAAGACAAAAGGTACCAGAGCGTCAACACACAAGAACAATATGTAGCAGAGCGTCAGCACGCAAAGACAAAATGTACCAGAGCGTCAACACGCGAGGACAAAATATATAACAGCGTCAACTCGCAAGGACAAAAGTTACCGGAGCGTCAATACACAAGGACAAAATATATAACAGCGTCAACACGCAAGGACAAAATGTACCAGAGCGTCTACACGCAAGGACAAAATATACCACAGCATCAACACATATGTCAGTATACCAGGGCGTCAACACGCCAGGACAAAATATACCACAGCATCAACACATGTCAGTACTGATGCCTGGTAAGAATTATCACTATCTTATTATACATACCGGTGTCAGTCATGATGCCTGGTAAGAATGATCACCAACTTGTTATGCATACCGGTGTCAGTCCTGATGCCTGGTAAGAATGATCACTAACGTGTTATACAGACCGGTGTCAGTCCTGATGCCTGGTAAGAATGATAACTAACTTGTTATGCATACCGGTGTCAGTACTGATGCCTGGTAAGAATGATCACTAACTTGTTATACATACCGGTGTCAGTCCTGATGCCTGGTAAGAATGATCACTAACTTGTCATACATACCGAGGTTAGTACTGATGCCTGGTAAGAATGATCACTATCTTGTTATACATACCGGTGTAAGTCCTGATGCCTGGTAAGAATGATCACTAACTTGTTATACATACCGAGGTTAGTACTGATGCCTGGTAAGAATGATCACTAACTTGTTGTACATACCGGTGTCAGTACTGATGCCTGGTAAGAATGATCACTAACTTGTTATACAAACCGGTGTCAGTGCTGATGCCTGGTAAGAATGAGCACTAACTTGTTATACATACCGGTGTCAGTGCTGATGCTTGGTAAGAAGGATTACTAACTTGTTATACAAACCGGTGTCAGTCATGATGCCTGGTAAGAATGATCACTAACTTGTTATGCATACCGGTGTCAGTGCTGATGCTTGGTAAGAATGATTACTAACTTGTTATACATACCGGTGTCAGTCAAGATGCCTGGTAAGAATGATCACTAACTTGTTATGCATACCGGTGTCAGTGCTGATGCTTGGTAAGAATGATTACTAACTTGTTATACATACCGATGACAGTCCTGATGCCTGGTAAGAATGATCATTAACTTGTTACACATACCGGTGTCAGTCCTGATGTCTGGTAAGAATGAGCACTAACTTGTTATACATACCGATGTCAGTCCTGATGCCTGGTAAGAATGAGCACTAACTTGTTATACATACCGATGTCAGTCCTGATGCCTGGTTAGAATGAGCACTAACTTGTTATACATACCGGTGTCAGTCCTGATTCCTGGTAAGAATGATCACTAACTTGTTATACATACCGGTGTCAGTCCTGATGCCTGGTTAGAATGAGCACTAACGTGTTATACATACCGGTGTCAGTCCTGATGCCTGGTAAGAATGATCACTAACTTGTTATACATACCGATGTCAGTCCTGATGCCTGGTAATAATGAGCACTTACTTGTTATACATACCGGTGTCAGTCCTGATGCCTGGTAAGAATGATCACTAACTTGTTATACGTACCGGTGTCAACGCCCGGCTCGTCGATTATAGACTCGTTTATTTGGAGTGTAAAGCAGTTTCCATAGCTTTCAGACTGAAACGTCGTGAAGTGTCTTAAACATAAAGACAATTAATCACTTCAATGCGTAAATAAAGATATCAGAAATATAGGTATTTCACATTATAAATGTATATAATTATTTCTGAAAGTAAAGTATACGTCTATTCTAACAGTGCCAAATATTTGAATATCAGACAACACAATGATATTAGCACTGTTGATTTTAAATTGATTTGAAACTTGCTCAACCAGAAAGTTCAGTTTAAACCGTTTTGACTCGACACAATATCAGATTATAGCAGGCTTAATAACAGTAAAAGTGGATTTTTATGCGGTGTGGAAATGTTCGCTATTTTCGTGGATTAGTGTATATATATAATAGCTAACCGTATTCAATCGCCAACAAACGGTATCATATCGACATTGATGGATTGGGTTATACAGATATCAATATCATTTAAAATTTGGGTTATACAGATATCAATATCATTTAAAATTTGGGTTATACAGATATCAATATCATTTAAAATTTGGGTTATACAGATATCAATATCATTTAAAATTTGGGTTATACAGATATCAATATCATTTAAAATTTGGGTTATACAGATATCAATATCATTTAAAATTTGGGTTATACAGATATCAATATCATTTAAAATTTGGGTTATACAGATATCAATATCATTTAAAATTTGGGTTATACAGATATCAATATCATTAAGGATGTGGGTTAAACAGATTTCAATATTATTAAAGATTTAGGTTATATAGATATCAATATCATTAAGGATTTAGGTTATACAGATATCAATATCATTAAGGATGTGGGTTATATCGATATCATTAACATTAAGGATGTGGGTTATACAGATATCAATATCATTAAAGATTTAGGTTATATAGATATCAATATCATTAAGGATGTGGGTTATATCGATATCATTAACATTAAGGATGTGGGTTATACAGATATCAATATCATTAAGGATTTAGGTTATACAGATATCAATATCATTAAGGATTTAGGTTATACAGATATCAATATCATTAAGGATGTGGGTTATACAAATATCAATATCATTTAAAATTTAGGTTATACGGATATCAATATCATTAAGGATTTAGGTTATACAGATATCAATATCATTAAGGATGTGGGTTATACAGATATCAATATCATTAAGGATTTAGGTTATACAGATATCAATATCATTAAGGATGTGGGTTATACA